CCCCCCAGTCACATCAATGGGTGCCCCACCTGCCCCCACTCACCAGCTGCTGCTAGGTGGGGGGGGCAATCCCCACTGCCCCACGCTGCATGGGGTGCTCTGTCATGAGTCCCCCAACACCCCTGGCTCCCCCATCCCTGCCATGGGTGCCCTGCCCAGGCCAGCTGTGGCCTTTTAAGCAAAAAAAAAAAACTGAGAAAAGTCCCGGGAATCTCCACTCCTGCAGCTGGCCTCAGGGCTTCGGGGGCTCATGCAAAGCCCCCCAAATGGCCCGGGGCAGCAGGGGGCAGTGAGGATCATCCCCGCTGGCAGGAGCGGTGAGGCGGGGGGGGTGGGGCGGGGGGGGGGGGGGGTTCATTTTTGTTTTTTTTCTTAAATGGCCAGAGCTGGCCCAGGCGGGGCACCCGTGCGGGGGTTAGGAGAGCAGAGGGAGTCAGGGGGCTTATGCAGAGCCCCCCATGCAGCTTGGGGCCGTGTGGGGCAGCAGGGATCAGGGGGCAGCAGCCAAATCTTCAAATCAGATTCAGACAAATTGAATTGGGACAGTAATTCAAATCACCGAATTGAATCTATGTCCCCATAATTGGCTGAATCCAAATCCAAAGCGAATACTAGCCACTTTGCACAGGCCTCCTGATTTTCTCTTTCTGCATGACAGTATTTGTATTTGTATCCCTAGTACATTTGCTGCCACAAGGACATGGTTGTTTCTTGTGTTTTGGAACAATTGTTTTCTTCCCACAAAAACTGTCCAGATTTGGGTCATGATGGCCAAAAAGATTATCAGGAGGCTTGAGTATTGTATCTGCTTGTAGATTCAGTTTTTTACAAGCTGCCAAACCTAAAAAGGGTGTCACTTCCTGGGGTACAGTGAATGGGAGCATGTATGCTCTATTGTTATACCAAATGTTAGCAATGCATCTCACGTGCACTGGTACATATATTTGTTCCTGAATAGCCAGTTACTTTGACGCTTGTTGGACTCACTTTTGGTCTTAATTTTAATGTTCTACGTGTATATTCTGGTAAAATTTTAATCTGAGCTTCAGTGTTCAATTTAAATGAAACCATTGTTCCTTGCACTTTCACTGGTAAAACCCAGTCCCTCTCACTGCTTTTGCTTCCTTCAGCTATATCTATATAAAATTCGTCTGATATGCTCTCAACTTTATGCTCTTTAGGTTTCTAGGCTCTCGTAGCAGTTGACACAATCATTCCTCTTGTTACAGTTAAACAAAGCTTTTCAAATGCAACATGAAGTTTGAGGCCATGCTGCTTTGTACACTTGCTGAACACCAGCCTTTTTGCTCACGCTCTCTTACCATTCTCATTGCCAATGGAATATCCTACTCCGTGGATGTGGGCTGGCCCCAGCAGCTTTATCTAAGGTCCTGGGGGCCTTCTGGGGCTTCAGCTGTGTTGCTCCTGCTGCGCAGAGCCTGGCTGGCAGCTGAGTGTAGCGCTGGCCAGTCAGGCTCCGGCTTTGGGCTGCGCACATTGCCACCGCATGCACCACTCCACTTTTTTCCCCCTGCAGGTTTTTTTGACCCCTGGATATCCAGGGGTCCAAAATACCCTCCACATTGCTCCATTGCAGCACGGAGAACAACTGAATGTGCAGCATGTGGCGCCACAAACATGTCTGCAGCCCCACATATCACACAGCCAAGATCATCTGGACATGGCTGTGAGGTGTCTTCTTACCAACAGAAAATTTTACCCTGTGAGGTACCTTTTTCTGACCGTAGTCTTTCTTCCCTACTACATACACAACCCCCTCTTGGTGCATTCAGCTCTACAGCCTGGGCCTTCACAGTTTGTGCTGCCCTGGATATTTGGACCATCTTTTCTAGGGACAAATCTCCCTCATGGAATAGCTTTTCTTCTAATGAAGTATTTGCAATGTCACAAATAATCCTATCTAAGCAGAGATTCTGCCAAGTTCCCAAAAGCACAGTTCTTACTCATTCTATTTAGTTCAGTAATATACTGATTTATACTTTCTCTTGGTGCTTGTATGCACATTATAAAAACCCTGTCTTTTCAGGGTTTTATTTTTTTGGTGTACAATACTCCGAAAATTTGTCATTTTTCTCTTCTGCCCCTGTGGTTGCTAAAAGAAAGCCGTTGTCTGACCATGCTCAGACCTTTGTCTGAACATGTTCCAGTTCTCACCAAATTACCTAACTTCAGATGGGTAGGTGGAGGTTGCAAAACTTTCCATCTCTAACTGTTCTTTTACTTATGACTACAACTGTGCAACTGTTTTTCCTTCTACTTGGCTGCATTTTTCCACTTGCTCTCAGTTTCCAACTTGTGAATTTGTTAAATTCTTTCAGGTTCTTCCTCATTTGTCACTTCAGCCACCATGCAGTGGTCACTAGGTTCAATAAACACAGACAGAAGTGAATGAGATGAATTAAACAATAAATTTTATTGTGCAGCAGTAGGCAACCTCTGCAGACCCTTTTTCTCTCTCTAATTATGAGCAGACAAATGACCCTTTGTCTCTCTAATTATCCTGAGGGACCATTTCCCAATTCCCAGCTTTGGTAGTCTTCTAAATAAAGGAGTGTTTCTAAATTATAACTTCTATCGCTACAAGGGCCAACTGCTGCCCGACTCTGAATTAATTCTGGCTTATCCAGGCAGAGCAAATTTACACCTGCTATTACCATATTTCCTTGCTTAACACATGTGCCCCCATTTCCAGCAGCTGATTTTTGGAAAAACGGTTCATATATTATCCAAGAAAAATGGCATATTTTGTTAGTTATGTTCAGTCTGTTGGTGTTACTACATTCATCAAGCTTTAATTCTTTGCAATAAAATGGAAATGTTCACTGTTTACTATTTGCACCCTGCTGTCAGTCTGTATTTCCCTGGCTTTGAATTTGAATTTGGCAGATTCTTCTACTTCAGAATGTAAATAAAGTTCAAGTGCATAAGGGAGTCCAAAATCAAGTCCTTTACCATAACTAGATCCAATTTACATTCCATACAGTGACGTGAACATTCACACCACTAAATAATTGTTTTCAAGTTCATAGCCTGAGGTGACATGTGTCTGCAGACCACCCTACCATATGTTTTTCATCTAATCTGAATATTCCTTTTAAAAAGATTAACTGCAGTAAATGTTTCTGGTCACAAGGCACTATATAAAAATGCAAACCTATAAATATATCCAGTCTTTTAGGCTAAGACTTATCACGTTTTACATCAAAGTGTTATAAGGGCCTTGTTACATGGTAACTTTAGACAGTTTCTGGAGCTCTTAACCCCTGGACTGGCTGCACATTAACAAAGCACTTGTTATTTGGCTTAATGTTAAACCACTCCAGGGCAGGATTATCTCTAATCCAACCAATTTTGTTCCTGTTCCATCAATTTGTGGCCAGTCTCCACAGCTTTACCACCCAATTTGAAGTTTCCCAGCATTCCAGGAGGCAGTGGGCCCTCCTGAGTTGGAGCAAACTGGGGCACAGGGGTGCAGTGCAGCCAGGCACAGCACCTCCCCTCCCCAAGTACATCCAGCAGAGTGAGCAGCACAGCCCCAGGGTACCTGGTACTATGGTGACTCCCGCCACCGCTGGGACTGCCTCTGCTCCCAGCGGGAGCTGAGTAAGGTGCTCCAAGGGGGTGGGGGGTACCACCTCCCTGCTGCCACTCCAACTTGCTCAGTCCAATGAGCTCTGCCAAAGCCTAGAGCACAGCCCTGTGCAACACCACCAGGGATGGCAGTGAGCGCACACTAATAGTATCACACTCAGTGGGATCCAAGGCAGATGTTCGATAAAGAACTCTAACTTATCTATCCAGGGTCAAATCAGAACAGGATTCACCGTTTTTAAAGCACTTTGTGGGCCACAAAACATCTGTTCTGTTACAGCTGTAAAGCACTTTTTGTGCACTTAAAGCACTGTAACGTCTATAACAAGCCTTAATAATTACTTCACCAAAATAAAGCAAAACAAAAAAATATATACTCTTTCAGTCATTCATATCTAAAAGAGGAAATATTTTAATTCAAACACAATTGAACTGTCACAAAATGCATAAAAATCAAATTATATAAAGACATTTCTTGAAGCGAAGACCTTTGAGGTATGTCACTACATATTGCATCTACATACTGCAAAGATGTAATGCTGAACTAAGAAAAGCCCAGTATGAGGACATGCTCAGTATGTGTTTTGAGGTTTTTCTGAACTGAATTTGTAAAACAGTAGGCTGAAGTGAAATGCACTGTCAGCAGTCATGAAGTGCAATTTTGGAATGACATTTGCAGGACTCCAGCAGAACTGGAGAGTTGGTCTTCTGAGTGCTTTGAAAAGTCTGTAACAGTTATTCTTGCAATGATGAACTTGACTCTTTTTGCCACTAATAGCAATGTAGATCTGTTATAGAAACTGGAATTGTTTGAATACCCATTCGTATGACTTGATGTTATATTGTGGCATTTGTTCAATGGCCTCCCACAAAACTATTTTAAGCAAGTACATCCAGAAACTTGCAAGACTACTAAAGAAATAATTGTTCCTGCTAGTACATAAAACACATCTCACAGACTGTGAAATGACCTGCAATTTTCACAGGAATAAGTAGCTTTATCTTAAGCATTCTGGTGCTCCAGGTTTATATCAAAATGAGGCCTATTTTTACTTTATTAACTAAAGGATATCTTGTTCATTCTGCTCAATGTTAGCCACAAGATTATTTGACTCATTAGTATCAGAAACAGTTACTCTATTTTGATACAGGGAATTGTCAAAACCGGTAGCAGTTTGTTGCTGGTTGTGTCTTCTGTAGAGAAAATAGATGGTGAGGCCAGCTCCTATTAGAATAAGGAAGACCAGAGTAACCACCATCCCACTTAAACGGTGTGTAGGTGCAGCTTCAATTTTTTCATCTCCTGTTAATGAACACAAAGTCATTACTGCAAAATCTAAGAATTATTACAATAAATATTAAGTAACTGAGACAACAAAGGTCAGATTTTCAAAAGTTCTCAGCACCCTTACTTTTAACTGAAGTCATTTTAAATTGGGGGTGTTCAGAAGAAGATTAGGTAAAACATCTATACCTCTGTTTTTAAAAGCAGAGTTAAAAACTCTGGGCTATGAAAGAAACAGACCTCAGTTATATTAGCTTGCAATTCCCACAGAGCATGAGCAGGTAGACAGGCAGCTGCCATGTGTCAGCTGTTCTACATTACGTCTGCCTTCCAACATAACTACCTGTACTTTGATCATTTGTCTATACCTTGTATTTGCAATTTACGATATGTTTCATGCCTAAAACTCAGAAGGTATTTGGACAAATATCCATTCAAAAGACAGTTAGAACATCTTAAGTCACTAGGAAATTCACTGTGAAGGGACAACCTTGAATTCAGACAGGTTTGAGTTATAACAATCATAGTAGTACTTAGCTCTGTGCATGATTATTTGAATTTGTCCAATAGTATTTTTGTCAGAAAATAATGAATATTTTGGTTAAAAGAAAATCATGTTACCTCCTGATCTGTGTGGTGACTTGGTTGATTCTAATTCAGGAACTTCCAGGAAAAAAAAAAAAAAAAAGCAAAATAAACAAAAGATATTCAGAGCTTGTAAACCTCCCTTTTCCACCAAATTGTATAGTCATAAATAGTAAATTAATGAATATACAACATAAATGTAGTGCATTACCACATTCATTACATACATTTAAAATAAACTAATGAAGATGCAAAAACATGTAAAATATTTTATTAACATTATACCCAAATCAACAGAGCACTATCATTAAAACTTACAGAGAAGTCAATTTGAATTTTTGTTTATGTTTGTTTCCATTCCCAAAAAAATGTTTTTGCCTTTTGATTTTAGGACATTTCAGAATGTCAAGACATGAAGAAATATTAAGAAGCTGAATATTTTTCACTCTGCTTACCACCCCACAATATTTCCAGTAGATCCCTGACAGACATTACCCTTAAGACATAACTAACTAGTTGATCACTTCTTAAGTTGTGATCTAGCCACACATTCATTCAGTTGATGGCATGATGATAAAACAGGGAATAAGTCACAAAGTTGCTATACGTATTTTGTGTAATATATAAAATGCATGTAATAACTTTGTGCCTGGTTCCTATCACACCTTAAATAGAACTTGTGGCTAGTGCAACCAGCCTCAGGAGCACACCAGACCCCTTCAAGACTCGGGTGCACTCCTGCAGCTGGGAGCCCTAGTTGGCTGTCTGGGGCTTCCAGCTGGGGAAGCATACAGGAATCAATCTAGCTACCCGCCAGTACAGAGTGTCCCCAGGAGATCTCAGCCCATTACTGAACTGAGAGGAGCATTTGTTTTGGAAGCAAAATTCAAGCATCCACACATAATATCCTGCCCAGTGAAGCTGGTGTTTCAGGATCACCAACTCAGTGTTGGTAACATTGGCTTCATCAGGGATGCTGGCTTTTGTGTGACAATCTTCCCATTTGATGTGGAGGATTTTTTGGAAGCATCATAGTGATCTCTTTCCAGGCTCTTGAAATGACAATAGTAGGTCACCCATGTTTCATATCCATAGGGGAGTGGAGATGATGGCTGCATTTTAGACCTGGATCTTGGTGTCTTTCCAGAGACTGAGATGAATAAAGACATGCTGATGCAATGTCACAAAGGAGGCGCTTGCACACTGGGGATCCTGTGCTGGATCTTCTCATCAATGTTCACTTTCTGAGAGAGCTGGCTACCAAGGTAGGAGGAATACTTAGCTACCTTCAGGGCCTTTCCCTCAATCATAATATGAGGAGGGGGTTCATATTCATGGCCTGGGGCACACTGATAGAGCACTTTTGTCTTCTGGATGTTGAGAGAGGCCCAAAGTTTGTTAGGATTCTCCAAAAAGATCCAATACGCTCTGGAGGTTTTCCTCACTGTGCGCAAGGTTGGCGCAGTCATCTGTATACTGAAGCTCAAGGATGGGGGGTGGGAGAGTGAGTACTTTGGTCTTTAACTAAGAATGTACCAGATTGAATACTAAATGGATGGAGAGCTCTTCAATGTCAATTCAAAAAGGAAGGAGACCATTAATGAGAATAAGGATGACTGTCAAAAAAAAATGGAGAACAGATTTGGAGCAATGACATATGCTTGTTTAACTTCAGTTTGGATGAGAAACAGATCCATTTTTGATCCATTACATAGAACAGTCACAGTCATCTGGTCTAGAAGAAGCCTCTGGACCTTGAGGTTCTTTTCCAACATACACCTTTGGCCAGTACTTTCCACAAGGCTTATCAACTGATGGAATCAAAGGCTTTAATAAGGTCAATGAAGGCCATATACAGGTCCTGGTGTTGTTCCTGACACTTTCTTGGACCTGGCAGGCAACATAAATCATGCCAATTGCCCCATGAAATGATCTGAAACCACACTGAGATTCTGGCAGAATTTCCCCAGCAAGAGGTAGAAGATGCTTCAGGAGGATGCAGGCAAGAATTTTCCATGATGTGGAAAGGAGGGCAATACTTTGATAGTTCCCTCACAAAGACTTAATTTCCTCTCTTGAAGTTAGTCACTATGTTGGCATTCCTCATGTCTCCAAAGATATCTTTGTTGTTCCAAACACACAGAATAAATTTGTGGAGTCTCAGTACTAGTTCCTCACCACCAGCCTTGTAGATTTCAGCAGGTACATCGTTCGGTCCAGTAGCTTTGTTCTTGGTTTCCTTAATAGCACACCAGACTTCTTCTAGGATAGGAGGGTTGGCAAGGGATCCCTTTTCAGGGTGTTGGGGGAAGTATTTGATAGTGGTATCTGTTACAGTGAACTCATGGTTCAGGAGTGCCTGAAAGTACTCTTTCCACCTAGCTGAGATAGAGTCATTGTCCTTGAGGAATGTCAAGCCACCCTACAATCACAGGAAAGTAGGACCATGGGAAGGTGGGCCATAGATAGTCTTCATTGCCCAGAAAAAGCTATGTATGTCATGCTTGTCAGCATAAAGCTGGATCTCTTGGGTTTATCTTGCCACCAATGGTTTTTTGATTTCCCAGATCCTCCTTTGAACTTCTGCTTTGAAGAGCTGTTACTTCTCCTTCTTCTGCTGAAATGAAGTGTCATTTTGCCAAACAGAATGAGCCCTTCTCTTGCAGATGAGGATGGCTTAGATCTTGGTGTTGCTCTCATCAAACCAGTCTTGGCACTGATGGATGTTACATCCAATGGATTCAGATCAGGCTATATAGACAGCAACTGTAAACCCCTTCCTGAGTTCCTCAATATTGCATTCATTTGTGGATAGGGGAGAGAGCTTTCCATGGAGACACTGTTGAAGACATTACAGACCTTTAGGTCTTGAAGAGATTTTGTGTTGAGAGTCCTTTGCATTGCTTTTGGCTGTTTTTTGGCATTTTGGAACAAGCTGGATATTCATAAAGGATGTGACAAGACAGTGATCTGTCCAGCATTCATCAGCTCCTTGCATGGGTCACGTAATACGGACATCCATTCAATCACATGCTGTAACAATAATATAGTCAAGGAGGTGCCAATGCTTAGAATGAGGGTGTCTCCACATAGTCTTGTATTTGTCACACTGTCTGAAGATCATGTTTGTAATGACAAGACCAACTCCATGCATTTTCTCAGGTGAAGGATGCCATTGGCGCTGGATTTCCCTGCCATTGGAGCTGGATTTCCCTACCTCTTTCTTCCCAATGATACCATTCCAGAGTTCCAGGTCACATTCAACTCTGGTGCTGAATTCACTGTGGGGAATAATCTTGTCCTCCTTGCAAGTATTAGTCAGTATGTGCTCAAGATTGAAGCAGAATTGTTCTTTGATGTTATCATCAGCATCATGCATTGGAGAAGTATACACAGATGGTGATGGTGTACTGGTTGTTGATGAGCTTAAGATGGAGGGTCATAAGACATTCATTAATGCCCACAGAGAACTCCATAAGTTGACTGATGAACTGATTCTTGATGGCTAAGCTGACACCATGAACCCATCTTTCCTGGTCCAGTTTCCCCTTCCAAAAGAAGGTGTAGTGTCCGCCCTCTTCCCTCACCTAAATCTCTTCTGGTCATCTTGTTTCACTCAGAGCTACAATGTTAATGTTGTATCTCATCAGTTTCCTGGAGATGATGGCAATTCTTCTTTCTGGTCATGCATTGTCTTGGTTATCTATCAAGTTGTGAATGTTACATTTTGTGAAAAATCAGTATATTCCTATGATGTTTTCAATGGCTGAGAAAGTGATACCGCTTATGTGGTTATCCAGCTAGGAGCAGATAAAACAGCCTATGTTTAAGGCACCTTTTGTGGCCCTTTCGCCATGTGGGGTGACCAGAGAGGATCGTGAATAGGACTGCTCAGTCATGGTAGCAACTGTGGAATTGCACCCCCGTCTCAATCCAGGTGCAAGACAACCATCAAACTACCACCGCCTGCATGAAGGTTCATGCCTGGAGGCTGCCAGATCCACCAGTCCTGTCTTCATCACCATTTATCCATTGCCATAGGGCTTTTGGAGGTTGGTACAGGAGAGTGTGTTGTTTCCTGTGGTAGAAGCCTGCACATGACTGTTTAACATGAGGAACCTGGAGTGCAGAAATAACAAACACCTTTGACAAGGTGGAGATCTGAGCCCAGTGATGAGGGAAAACCCTAGATGACAGGAAACCTCCATCTTGTTGCAGCCTTCTTCCATCTTTACTGTCATTGAGGTCTTAACATCTCCTTCTCCCTGATCTGCTGTTGAGGACTTGTGGTTTGAACTATGGTTTGTCTAGAGCCTTCCCTCAGGCCTGCTCACCACGGGTGACCCTAATAGGAGCATGAGAATCTGGGCAACTGTTCTGAGGAACATTGGGAGCCTCTCCACCACAACAAGATCTCAGTCCATGGAGAGAAACAGCTATCACAAACATATAGTTTCACAGAATTCACTGGGCAAAAGGACTTTGTATAATAATAACAGTCATCACTAACAAAATAATGCAATATACTGAACTTACTCTTTGGCATTTTACAAACAAAATGTCTGTCAAAACTGCAGTAATAGACTCTCCAGCTTCCATCTGAAGCATCCATGAGAACACAGTTTTTACTAGAAAAAGTTGAAGGCTCGCCTTCTTTCCAGTTGACAAAATCAACTGCTTTGTTGTTTATCCATGTCCATTCATCTAAAATTAAAGTGATAAGTACAAAATATAAAATGACAAGGTTGACATTGAATTAATTAATTGGTAAAATCAACACCTGACTATATTCCATGATTCAGTTTTCCTCCCATAGCAGAAAAATACACTCAGCTGAGAATGTTTTATGCCTGAGCTTTAGCAATTTGAATATTAAGTGCCATTATCTATGATGTCATAGAAGAACATAACACTAACTATACTGCCAGGCACACCAAATGTGTTAAAGATTAAAACTAAAGAGACCTTGAATTTGCACCAGAATTTGCACTGGGAGCCAGTAGTAAAGGTGAAGCTTAATATTGTCTCTGAAGTTCTTTGGATCCTGGCCTCCAAAGCATGCTAGTGATTTTGACTCTGACTATATCCAAGACTGGAGAATATTTCATTTACCAGGATCTGCTCAATTATTTAACACCGCCTTATTTTATCAGGCCAAACTGAATAACATCATTCCCTATTCAGGTCACTACCACCTGTCTCTTACTGATTGCAGGGAGGCCCAGGTCCTAAAACTAAAGCTAAATAGAAACTTGTTTGCATCATAATTTTGAATGGAAATTTTTGAGTTTTCAGTGGAAAGAAACAAAACCTGAATAACTATGCCTAAAAAATAAAATAATATAAAATAAAATGATTTGGAAATGCTACTTTAGTTTCCCATGGAAATGTGTGTTCCTATACTTAATGCAATAGACTCCCCTACCTAATTAAATATTTCTTTATGCAACGCAGCCTTTGCTGTTGATAAGCTGCCTCAAAAAAATCATGGAGAGATCTATCCAGCTGGGGAATCTTGCCTATTTAGATTCCTGTGTTACATGCTTTAGGTGTCAGAGTATGAAAAGATGTATATAGCTCGCCTCCTGGTATCCAAAGTTATCAAGAGAAACAGAAACCCTTGAAGGACCTACTGATTGAGTTTACCTGAATCCCACCTCCTGGAGCTCAATTCACCACCAGTCTTTGCAGATCCAACATCTCTTAACTTCAGTGCCTCTCAGCTTCTCCATACCCCAGCTTTTCAACAGGCCCTCACATATCTTTTCCAAGCTCTTTGGGCATTTTTACACATGTTATGAGACGCGGCACTGGGAGCATGAATTAGCAAGCTGCGCCAATTAAAACAGCTTATATGTTACATGTATCAGTGTCACTGGGCATCCCCACACTGAAAAAATGGTGGTGGGGTGCTTTAAAATAAAGTTAATTGCGTGTGTTTTATTTCAAAGCACCCTGCCTCCATTTTTTCAGTGAGGAGATGTGTGATGACACAGATGCATGTAATGTGACAAACTGTTGTAGCACGTTGATTTCTGTGCTCCAGCAGACTCGATTAATTGAGTCTGTTCCATCTCATTAGATTTCCAGAGCATTGGAGCAGGCTCTGTGCATGTGTATAGGAGTTTTTGATACCTGGCTCTCCCAGAACCAAGCCCCCAGCTCTGATGATAGGCTTGTGTGAAGCTTTGGGTGATGATTTGATTCGGAGGAGATTAGGCCTGATTCGGTGGCTGAATCTCCAAATCGAATCAGGGGACCAATTAAAAGGTCTGAATCAATTTGAAGCTCTCCGAATCGTCAGAAAAGACTCAGAGAGCTTCGATGATTTGGACAGTCCCCAGTGGCTGCACCAGGGAGCTGCAGACAGACTCCAAGCTGATAAGTAGGGGGAGGGGGAGGGGACCATGGGGGAACCCCTGCCAGCCCCCATCTCCTCCCTGCTCCCTCAGCCCCCCTGATCCCCAGCTCCCCATGACTGTCCCACCCAACCCAGCTCCCAGCCCTTTAAAGAAAAGCCCCGGTGCTTACCAGGTGCTGCCAGGTGGGAGAGCAATCCCCGCTGCCCCCCACTGCCCCACGCTACATGGGGGTCTCTACACAAGCCCCCTGACACCACCCCCCCACTCCCCTCCATGGCTT